AGATGCGGGCTTCAAAGTCCAAGCCCGGGGATTCTTTGTCCTGGCGCAAAGAATCCCCAGATGGCACATGATAACTAACTCAGACCAAAGGCCTCCGCGCTCGTCCCCTCACAGGGCAGCCAAAGATGGAATCTGTACTGCTCATGGGAAGTAGGAGCAAGGACTAGGAGCAAGGACGCTACCAGTAACAAAGCTGCACAAAGATTTTCCTGCCTGAGTTTGACTTGACCGAATCATCTGACAAAGTTCTTCAGCATCAGCCTGAATCAAACAGACAACATTGCACGAATAAATTCTGAATCAAACGACAGCAATCCCAAGGAAAAGGAAAATGTGCTTGAAAGTCATGTTTTGCAGTCGGAATGTTCTTTGTCCACGGGAGCTCCTTCCTTGAAGCAAAGTCGCTTTTTGACTACCAACTAGCAACAAGAATGCCTCTATAAACAACCCATTATTCTTTTCAGTGCAGCAAACCGAAACTCCAAAAAACCTTGAGAAAGAGAATGGAAGTGGATCATTTAAAAAGAGTTGAAGGTCGAGGCAAAAAAAAGGAAGAATAGAACATAGAAAGAAATTTTGGAGAAATTGAATATGAATAGGTGGTACCGTAGTACGGCCAGGAGCCCTAGTAGCGTCCTTGCTCCTAGTAGCGATGCCAGGAGCCCCTAGTAGCGTCCTTGTTCCTAGTAGCACCGTAGTACCCAAACTCCAAGCTTCTTTGGCTCGGGCTCCCGGCTGCGGTGATTTCGGAAAAAGCGCTCCGCCGCGCCTGACGACGCGACGCGACGCGACGCTCCGCCCGGCGGCAGGCCGTCACCGGGCCTTGGCTGCGAGGAGTGAACCTGCGAAAAAAGAAACGAAGAAAAACTGTTTGGGAATCGTCGTGTGTTGAAATGTGTTGTTTCTATTTTTTTGTTCAAAGATGGTGCCCAAAAATAGACAAATGTGTCTTGTGACTTTCAGACTGTCCTTCCTACTCCCTTTTGGAGTCCTGTTTTTTCTGCTGAATGTGGGAGACGCTTTCAGAGTTTTTCAGGAGAAAATGCCGTCTAAGCGACGAATCGGGGAACTTACATTGGATTCATGCAGCATGAGAAGTGTACTCATTAAGGCAAATTCACAGGCGACACAAAACCAAGAGCCAGACCTCGCTTGGCCCGATTCCGTGCAAACCAATTTTTTACATGCTCTGGCCCTGGCGGCCCTGGCGGCCCCCAATCCTTCAGCTGCTTTGAGACGTTTGAGGAGTGTTGGATGCATGTCTTCTGTGACGAAATCGGCCAGCTCAAAGGGCCTTAGCCGTTGAGCATCGCTGAAGTCGAGATCACAAGGCAGATCAGGTCTAGAACTTGTGATCAGGTCTAGATATAACAAGGCAGATCAGGCCGTTATCACAGGTCATGAAGGTTAAGAGTTTCTTGAACTTTGCGAGTCACAAAGTGCCAATGTTTTCCGAGTTGCTCCTCCTGATAGACTGTGGCAGCCTGGAGGGTTCTAGAAATCTGCAGAGGTCGATGCCAAAGCGCCGTGACCGTCTGACCTGGCCTCCGGCGTCATGATGTCTCCGAAATTCAGGTGGTCGGAGAGGAACCTCCGAACTGCATTGGGCTGAGCAAATCAAGTCGACTGTAAAAGATATGAAGATATAAGATATATGATATATGAACGAGTGGTCATACAGTACAAGATTCGAAAATGATAAACACGGTCCACCTGTCAAAAGCAAGCAGCTTGCTTTTTAGAATGGAGAATGGAGCCAGGCCTCCTTCGCTTCTCCGCACCACCGCCTGGGATCAAGCTTCAAAACGGAAAAAGAATTAACGATTTCTTCATGTTACTAGTAGCCTCTTGCTCCTAGTAGTAAGGCCAGGAGCCCCTAGTAGCGTCCTTGCTCCCAGTAGTAAGGCCAAGAGCCCCTAGTAGCGTCCTTGCTCCTAGTAGTAAGGCCAGAAAGGAGCCCCTAGTAGCCTACTTGATCCTAGCAGTAAGGTCAGGAGCCGCTAGTAGCTCCTTGATCCCATTGCAAACCACCTTATCACCCGGATGGCTTGGTACCCATGGGACACGTCTCATCGATCTTCACAACAGATGTCGCCGCCCCACTGACATTTGACCAGGCTTTCCTATACCGCAGGAATCTTCGTAAAGTCTGGAACAAGCATGGTGATCTTTCGTCCGTGCCTATTCCAGCTGCACCCAATTAGGAATTTACTTATCTTGAGGCCCGTGGCCACACAGGTCTTTCAGCAAGCGCGGATATTCGGTCTCACATAGGTAGTCGATCCGTTTTAATTCACTTTGTACAGTAGTGCTCATATCTTACAACAAGATACTGACCAGACTCCCTGACACCCGTCACCTTGACGAAGGGTCATGGGAAGCGGCATGGACCGACCGCAAGCAGTGTGAGTAGTAAGGCCAGGAGCCCCTAGTAGCGTCCTAGTAAGGGCAGGAAGGAACCCCTAGTAGCGTCCTTGCTCCTAGTAGCAAGGCCACGAGCCCCTAGTAGCGCCCTTGCTCCTAGGCCAGGAGTAGCTTCTTGTTCCTAGTAGCAATGCCAGGAGCCCCTAGTAGCAATGCCGGGAGCCCCTTGTAGCTTCTTGCTCCTGGTAGCAATGCCAGCAGCCCCTAGTAGCTTCTTGCTCCTAGTAGCAATGCCAGGAGCGCCTAGCAGCTTCTTGCTCCTAGTAGCAATGACAGGAGCCCCTAGTAGCTTCTTAGTAGTTTTTTGTTCCTAGTAGCAATGCCAGGAGCTAGTAGCAATGCCATGAGCGCCTAGTAGCTTCTTGCTCCTAGTAGCAATGCCAGGAGCCCCTAGTAG